TTTTAACCTGAGTGGTGCTTAAATTGGTAAGATTATAGGTGAAATTGTCATATATCTCCATATTTGTTAATAAAGAGCTTTCTTATAAAAACACTACGTATTATAGTGAATAAAAGAGAAATAAACTAAAAAACTTAAAATAATGGTTCAAAATAAAGAATAAGTACAGTTTTAAAAATTTGTCATTTACATTGGACTATTTTTATATAATCTAATATCTTAAGCAATGTACAATTATTTTAATGACTAGATTTTAAAATTAAATTTTATGATATTATTATAAAAAGAGTTTTAAAACATTTTGTTATTAGATCCTTTATCACTTGTTGTAACGGCCTAGAACTTGAAATGAAATAAATTATAAATTGAATGCAGAAGCGAAATAATAGTGTTAGGGTTTACATTCCTTACACAATAATTCAAAATATCTAATAGGGCTACGAGAATGACCATTCTAAAAGAATAACGAAAAATTAAAGAAATAAATAGAAAGAAAACAACTGGACATTCTATTCGCAACCCTCTTATGGATCGAGATCTGGATCTTGATTCTTTTGATCTGAAATATTTAATGAAAGAGTGAGCTACACTAGCCTAGTAAGAATATCACACTACTCACTGATACAGAAATGAAGATTGGTAAAAATCATGAAAATAACTAATAGAGCTCTTAATTTAAGTAAATTCATTTACCATAAGTAAAATCATTTATTGTACACTTACCGTAGCAAAATTTTCAAAATTGACCTATAGAAATAATAGCACAAATAATATCATAATCTCATATTCAATTAACTAAAACAATAACTTTCTCTTTTTATCTGTCTACTAGTATCCATGGGGGTCCATAAGGATGTTCCTATTACGCGTGAACCCTTATTCAACATTTTCAAGTAACCAGCTATCCTCATACCCAGTCCGGTATGAGCGCCAAAATTACCATTCCTCAATACCCTATCTGATATGAGGGTGAAACAGGCTGTTCTCATACCCCGTCCGGTGTGAATACCAAAATACCATCCCTCAATACCCTCATCTAGTATGAGGGTGAAACTGACTATTTTCATACCCCGTCCGGTATGAGCGCCAAAATACCAATCCTCGATACCTCATCCAGTATGAAGTAATGTTCACGGTAGGGTTCCCTATGTACCCGGTCCGTCCACCATCTCTCAAGATATCCAATAAGGCTACCATTCATTCATTTACTTAATTAAATAATTTTCTGTTTACATTTAATTTTTAATTTTATAATTTAACTGTAAATAACGCAGAATAAGCAATACATGCATCAAGGAAATACTACTGAATCATCATACAAACTCCAGTGTAATATTATGGATTTGAAACAGTAAAATCAATCAAACAGGATCAACAGTGAATAATAATCGGTTCTGCCTCCATTAGTAACCTATAATTAATTATCAAGATTTTTAAATTGTATAAAATATCACATTATTTATAATTAAACTTCAATTCCATAACAAGGAATAGGGTGAGGGATTCTTACCCGAATCGTTGTCCGAATGCTAAATTTTCAGCTGCGCTTACTAGCGGTCCCCGAATTCCCTAAATTTTCATTTAGAGATTAAAACGCGCTCCAGGTACCTAGAAATACCCTGAAAAAAATTCAAAATCGGTGTTAAAACTCTATTCTGGCCAATTTTGAAATTCCAACACGGTAGCACCGCCGCGCTGCCTGTGGCGGCGGTTTGCCTCGGACTGACCATTTTCGATCAGTTTCAGCCGATTTCGACCGATTTTGTACTCATCCCTGCGAGAACACACGTTAAGGGGACTCGGTTGGCAAAAAAAAATCGAAAAACAGAAGCTTACCATGGCGGAGTTTTCCGGTGCTGTGGCTCTGCCGGCTCACCTTCGCGGTTGGGCGTTTTCTTTCGATCAACCTATGAAAAACAGAATGGTGAATACAATGGTAGAAAAATTACATAAAATGGGAATCGAGAAGGGCCTCATCGAAAGCGATTTTTTATTTTTCCTGCGACGGCGCCGCCGGGCTTTACCCGCAGTTTCCGACTCATTCGTCCGTCATTTTACTCCGATTTAGGCATGATGGTGTTCAAAATCAAATTTCTAGCGAATGAGAAAATTTTTACCTCTTTTGGCAGTTGGAGGTGGCTCTGGCACGGTGGCGGTTGGCAGTTGGCTCTCACTCCCGGCGACTGATTCTTTTTCTCTGGCGGCTAGGGTTAGGGTTCAGTGTGAAATGAGGTATTTATATCTGTCTCCCTTTAATTTGAACTGTCTATCGCATTTAATTTTGACTATCCGATCGTGTTTAAATAAAAAATAAATCTGAACCGTTCATCATTATTTGATTTTGACCGTACGATCGCGCATGAGGAAGAAATGAATCCGGACCGTCCACACGCGCAGGAATAATTGCAGACTGTCCGATCGCAAGTACACGGATTGCCAACGTAGGCCTCCCGTGTGGCACTACGTCAGCGTGCCTTACCATGCGGCGCGCTCCGGTTCGTCAGGCTTGCTAATTGGGCAGTTTTACGTGACATATTTTTTTTAAATTATGTTTTAACTCTTAGTTTTCGATTTTTCTTTCAAAAATACTCTCAGAACCCAAATTTTCACATTTTTTTTTCAAAATTATATTCAATTTCATCATCCACTTATTTTTTCTAATTTTTACATTAAATAAAATTCATAAATAAAAAAATTATATTTTATACATTAATTTTAAATTTTTTAAAAATTTAATTACGAGTATTACACTTGCTATATCACATATGCTATTTTTTTTATTTAATGTATAAAACACCTTTTATTTCTATTAATTTGGTTTAGAAAAACTAAAAGAAAAAGAAAAAAATATAATCAGCTAGTTATTTTTTAAGAAGTAGCTTTAACTTATCTAATATATTTGTTAGTTATTATTATATTTTATATTTTAAATTATAAATTTCGTTATCTAATATATTTCTAAACTAAATATTTTAGTTATAAATATTCTTTTTTTAAAATTTATTTTAATATTATTGTAGTTATTATTGTTATGTGATAAATACTAAATATCCAAACAAATATCTTTACACAAATAATTTAGAGCTGTAATTCCTTCGAAGGGCTTATCGAGAAATACGCAGCAAGGGGAGTTGAAGCTACGATGATACAGTGATGGTTTCCGCCTACACTTGGAAGCTCTGTCTTCTTAACAATGCAAATGGCGGCTCCTGTAATCTCCTCAAAACCCCTCTTTACTTTACAAATGCCCTAATTCACCCATTTCCTCTGCTGCCACTTCGCCTCGGGTCATCACCAACTCCTCTCCACTCTACATCCATTCCTGTCTCCACCATTTCCAATCCTGTAATTGAAATTAAGAATCGTCTGCGCTGGCCGCTTCCGGTTCTCGAATTCGTCCATGGTGATGGTGGCAGCAACGACAACAATCAGAATAACAATGGAGATGGTGGGTCTAATAGTAACGACGACAATAACTACCTATTTGATGACGGCGATGGCGAGGATTCTTCTCGGTTCTTTCGTTTATTGCTCTCCTCTTTTCTTGTATGCTTTTGCTGCTTCTTCAGTTTCCAATTGGCCTCGGCCATTGCTATTGCGAGAAACATAACAACGGGCGCAGACTCAGAGCATGTGGTGTGGGAGGTAAAAGGGAGCAAGTGGACTCCATTCTTCGCTGATTTTTCCAAGGACGCGTTTGTCGCCGCAACATCGTCTATGCTGTCTGTCGGAGACTTCTGGGCGCACTGCAGGAATCTCGTTGTGCGATTGTTGCTTCCGGAAGGGTTCCCTGGAAGCGTTACAGCGGATTATTTGGACTACTCGCTCTGGCGAGGAGTTCAGGGTGTCGCCAGCCAAATCAGTGGTGTGCTAGCTACACAGGTATCCACTTCGATTGATAATTCTTTTTATTGAAATGGATCCAATACCATGTGTACGTATACGTGTAGGCGTTGCTTTATGCTGTTGGGTTAGGTAAAGGAGCCATTCCTACTGCGGCTGCCATCAATTGGGTGCTTAAGGACGGAATTGGGTATTTGAGTAAGATTATGCTGTCGAAATATGGGCGCCACTTCGATGTTAATCCAAAAGGGTGGAGACTTTTTGCTGATCTTCTTGAAAATGCTGCTTTTGGGATGGAGATGTTGACTCCTGCTTTCCCGCATCTTTTTGTCTTAATTGGTGCTGTTGCTGGTGCTGGCCGTTCTGCTGCTGCGCTCATCCAGGTTACTCTTCCATCTTCATCTTCCTTTATTCTTCTAATATTACAAAACCCTCCTGTATATGCTATGATCTTTCCCAGAGTTGTTGTCAATTCTTATAGATGTTACTCAGGTAACTTTGCTTGCCGTTAAAACCCTCCTTCCAGGAATGCTTGACTGATTTTATGTTGTTTTTCACTAATTAGAACATCGCAATGTTGCGTCTCTTTGTTTTATGGTTCCATGGTGTGAATTCGTTCTATTGGAAGGAAGGTCATCATATTCCATTTTTGGTGATTACTGTCTTGATCAGATGTAATCACACACAATAACCATTGGGATTTGATGTTCATCATCACAGGCTGCTACCAGAAGCTGCTTCTATGCTGGTTTCGCTGCTCAAAGAAACTTCGCTGAGGTTAGCGTACTTCAATTCTCATTCCTTTTCCAGAAAACAAAAACCAAGAAACTGCTCATACTTCATTGTTCATGGAATTGAATTTTTTTTTGGATGATGCTAACATGCATTTACTTTGTATTTCCTTCTTTGGTAGGCATATGCTTGATCTACAGTTTACCTTTTCTAATAGTAAGTGTTGGTTGTAGGTCATTGCAAAGGGTGAAGCTCAAGGAATGGTTAGCAAATCTATAGGCATCATGCTTGGAATAGCATTGGCTAACTCCATAGGCACTTCTACAACTCTTGGGCTTTCTTCATTTTGTCTCATAACATGGATCCATATGTACTGCAATCTCAAGTCATACCAATGCATCCAACTAAGGACGTTAAATCCCTATCGTGCAAGTAATTTTTTTCTTCAACCCATGCTTTTGGACATTGTTCCTACTTCATCACTGTGATGCTCTTTTCTTTATATCTTGTTTGCCATCTCTCACAGTGGGTATAAGAGGCAAAAAAAAAAAAATGAAGAGAGAAGATGGATATATATTTCCTGGTCATAAATATGTATATGCAAGTTTGCATCTTGCCATCTTCTTTCTTTCCTTACACATTGTTAGCAGACAGCCGTTAAGCTTCTGTTAACTGTTATTTTTAAAAAAGAAAAAAACAAAGCTTCTGTTAACTGTTGCACAGACTGCTAACTATTTCTGCATGGATGAGAAGTTTAAAATTCCCTATGGTGGCTGTTGATATCATAACCGCCAATTTTTTTTTTCCTTGAGAAAAATTATCATCTTTATTATTATTATCATCCTTTGGAAAGAAATAAGTTGACCATATGATGGGAAATTGATTTATTGGTTCTGTTGACAGGTTTGGTTTTTAGTGAATATCTTCTTATTGGCCAAGCTCCTCCATCAAAGATGTTAATGATGAAGAACCACTTTTTCCCACTCTACCATTCCTTTGTATAAGATCTGCCAACAAGGTGACTTATTTTTGTCCAACTTAAGCACACCCATGATTTGACTGTTTTCTTTTGTAGAGAGTAAGAAACAAAAATGCTTGATATTTGACTCAAATAGTTCTAAAACTGAGCTTAAACCATTTAAGTTCTATCTTACAAACTTCTTTTTGCCTGTATTTCCATCAATTTATACTGGAGATATTATTGAACAGAAGCACAATATATATGAGATATATCATGAATTTCATTGATTGCCTTTTGGAAGTTGATACAAGTAAATTTTGCTTTTCACTGCAATTTTGCACTTTAGACATGAATTTAATTCAAGCCAAAATTAAGCTTCAACATTACCTTTTCGAACCAGGGCTCATGTTGTATTAGTTTCTATTTTATTCTTATCAAATGGTATTTAGATTTTCTTAGAAAAGTCATTCTAGGTACTTTTTAATTAAATCATCATTTGTGAGTAGAGTTACTTTTATATCGAAGTAGTGATTAATTTCTTTGAAGTCCACACAGTTAACTCTGCTTGAACTATTTAACCATAAAATGCTGAAGTAGTCTTTGTCTAATAAGGGCAGAAACTTCCATGGGCAAGCCTCTTTAAGATGTAGTTATGGATTTTGGTGCAGTGCATCTACATATTTGAATTTACCTGTCTTGATAGTGGATTGCAGTTTGATGGCATCCTGATATTTGGCGATCATGGTAAATAATCGGCCGTATCCAAATTTTCCACTTGCACTCTTCTCAACTCAAAGAAATTAGGAATATCTTTGTACTAGATTGGAGTTTTATGTATATATTTGTGTCACGACACCCTTTTCAAAGCTTAGAAATTCTGCCTTCGGTCTTCTCGAGAAACAAAAGAAATTTTCCATTTGACAGTTGGAATAACTAGGATAGCTGTGACTGGGATTAACTTAATTTTGACTAGTATATGACATGTGGCTGTGTCAATTTATGAAGTCAATCATTTAATTTAATCTTTATACATATATTGCTTTGTTTTAGGCACAACCTGTTTCATTATCTTTGGAAGCAATGAATGCAG